TTTAATGACTATTATTTTGGTACGGCTCAGTGCAATTGTTATAATAACCCTGCTTGTGATTAACGTTACAGAAAGGACGTCACAATACGGAGTGAAAAATACTAAATAAGAATATCATATTTACTTCGCTCCCGAAGTTAAATGTCAGTATTTCTCAAAGTTCATTCTATTAAATTGTAAATGTTACCGCTTATAAGAAATTATGTGTATTTGAAACCCATGTTCATATTCTTATCATACTGACACCTCGACATTGAAAAGTTCTTTAGGCATTCTAGAAAACATACATTATAACAGATTTCTGAAATAAATCACCAAAATGTATCATTTAACAGAGAAGTGAATTATTGTTATAAAAGTTCACCTGAACGTTTCTTGTGAGTTACATTGAAGAAAGAAAAAATACAAATCTTACCTTCACTCGCACGAATCCTCTCTTCCTTCTCGAAGTAACATAGAAAAATTATTCCAAGGCACCTGTCCCGTTTCTCATTCACTCTAACTCATACGTTTGCCGATTATAAATGCCCTATGAGATATAAAACTTCCAAAGTATTTTACGAAATCACTAAGCTACTAATAGTTTCAGCATTTCAAGAAAACATTTACAGTTCAAAATTCAACGACTAAGACTCAAAATAATTAGAACCATTACTTGAATTGCGCTCGTTTCAGATCACAGCACACATGCGTTTGTATTGTTTTCGGGAGCAAAAAAACTTAATAATACATCAACTTCTAATAGAGAGCATTAAAATCTTTATATTATCAAAGAATGTAGATGTTTTTAAAAACAAAATCAATTCAAATCAAAGAAAATCATACTTCATTTTACAAATGTTAACACTTTAATTGCCATCTATATATAGAAGTATTTTTCTGTGGGAGGCCATGCTTTGGAAGACAGAGTTGCCAGATCCGCTCTGGGAATGTCTGCCATCTCAGGGATCACTGGTGGTGCTGAAGAATGGCACAGACTTTCCCGTATTAATTTTCTAGTTCCTTAAAAAAGCTTAATTTGTCGGTTTCCTGATAGTAAAATGGAAATATTATTTTAAGAATATTAAAGAACAGTAAAACTTTCTACCAAATAGCAATTTTCTTTGAAAATTTTGGAGTCCATCTTAAGAAAATGGCGTTTAAGCGCTTCTGTAAATTCGAAAATTTGAGTTTTTACTAAGTAATTTCAGACACTTTCCGTCACAAATGTAATAGTATTTACTAATTGCTGGAAATGTAAAGGCGTCAGAAATATTTAAAAAATTACATTTGTGTAATTCTTTAAAAATGTTGAAGAAAAAATTGGAGTAATTTATGAGAAAATGGCATTTGAGTGGTTCTGAAAATGCGGGATTTTGAACTAATTTTTACAGAAACTGTTGAGTTTTCGAGACACTTTATCTGACATTATTTAAAGCACACGTATTCATAAATATAATAATGTGAAAAAATTGCCGCCAGCATACACATTAACGACATGAAAGTCAAATAAAAAAATTACGTTTGTAATTTTTGTAAAAAACAAAAGAGTAGAACAATATGGTGTTTATATCGTCTTATAGAGTGCATTTATCACTACCTTTACTAAAAGTTTTTTAAAAAAATTGGAGCCGTTTTTGAGAAAATCTGTTTTTGTAAGTTGTTTATAAAAGAGGTGCGATCAAAATCATCACTTTTAAAATGCATTGAACAGAAGGTAGAAAAATACGTTGGGGGTCCAGTTCTCCCTTCTCACAGCCGCAATCCATTATGTCGTATCTACGGATCTTCTGGAAAATTGAAAGAAACGTTACTTTAATATAAATTGCTCATTTTACAATAATTATCCAAACAAATCCCAAAACAATTCTTACATGTGAAAATCCTAAAACAATTCTTACATGTGAAAGATTATACCCGGCACGTTTTTTACCCTTTTTTTCGTGCAACCAATTGCAACACAAGTGAGCATGGGCAATTACACTTTCAATACACCAGCCCCTATCAATAGACGATCACTCTAAACACGACAAGCTCTCCTAAATGTAAACGAAATAAAATTTAGTAATTCGTCGCGCAGTTAAACAGTACGCGGCTAAACTGAATTGGGTTATCTTAACATGGCTACCTCGCGAACACACTGACTTAATTGGAAATATCTATGGTAGTAATATCTCTGTATAGTAAGTACTCTGAAAAGTCAGCCCAATTCCACTAAAAGCCTTCCCTGACAAAAAAACTTTTCGTTTACCTAGGAAGAGACTTTACAATCAGAAGCGTGTATAGTAAAGGGCTTCTGTCAAAGCACTTGCCGCAATGATCGTAAGTCAACTTCCTAAGCTGGAAGAAAAAAATATGATACTGTAAATATTATCCAATGAAAGTGAGTTCTTGTTTGCACAAATAGGACTATTGCTTGCTCACGAACAGAAATGCATTTACAAGCGGAAATGTGCGTAAGTGGCTCCTGGCAATGCGGTTGTTGCAATGAGCGGTGAGGCTGAAGCATACACTATGATATTCGAATGAATTATGAGTGCTATTCGTTAAAAGTGCGGTCTTGTTTGCCCAATTAGGGTGTGACTTCCCATATATCAGCATCCGGATTGTATTGTAGTGTTAGTCAGCCTTCGCTGAACTCATCAATACGAACCTACTCGTTAGAGTCACATTTGACCTTACGTCCGGGCTCGGACCAAATCGACAACGCATTAACACATTTCTTTTTATACGTATAAAATTTAGACTAACATCAGCTTTATTTCTTACTTCTCTTCATTGTGATAAAATAAATGACATTGTTAAAAATGTGCTCAAAGGAGGGCACTTAAACCACAAAGGTGGACAATTGACGGCAATGGGCTGTCCTCCCAAATGGAGGACGGTTGGCAACCCTCCCCTTCCCATTTCTATTCCTGGATCAACGAGATTGTCTCATATTTCCACCAGTGAGATTTGAGAGACACCGCACGCTGATATGATCCCTCGATGACCCAGAAGACGGGAGAATGGGAGGCCCAACACTGAGAAGTTCGCTGCAATCACTTCCTCGTATCTCAACGCGCCCAACTTGTTCACACTTGATTGCCGCGAAAGAGTCGGTGGAGCGAGAGGCAGCGTGACTGTAGCTGGTGCTTCTAACATTTACTCCGACGGAATAAAATGAGTTACAACGAAGAGGAAGCTCATTTCGAGTATTTGAAGTAGATAGATACGACATTAAAAACTCTTTGCCTTCATGTTACGACCAACAAAGACAAGCAGCCCTAAGAATTTAGCAAAGAAGTCCAGAAAACAAGAAATAGAAAGATAATAACAATGTATGTGTGTTCTTGGCGCGACAGCCCGTGAACGGGCTCAGGCCTACCGGCGACGTCCCTGCCTCGCGGCCATGGGTTAGTGGGTACGTGTGGTTAGCACGTAGGCATCCCCATGTCGTATTCCGGTCTTCTCACCCTGAGAAGCGACATTTCTCATCGTCACACAGCAACATACACTGGGATATTACAAGGAAAATGCTCAATATAGTCTTGGCTCGACCGGAAATCGAACCCGGGGCCGCTTAGTGGAAAGCGAGCACGCTGACCAAGAGCTGACCACGAGCCAAGGTGATAACTAAGGGGCGGATTTTAATGCAATGACATTTTTTTCTTTTCGCTTTAAAACAAAGCCTTTTAGTATAGTCATTAATTTTATGTTATGACAAAAGGTTTTTTATTTTCCCGTATACGTACATATATTCAGAGTACTATACGTAGTATAGGGAAAGTTATGTAATGCAGCGGAAAATCGATTTCATAATTTCAACGGAAATACACCTTGATACCGAAAAAGTAGTTTTTTCCAAAACGTCCGCCTAACCGTCTGTCTATATGTTCCTCCGACTGTGAACACTACTAAACCATGCGTAAGTTTTTTCCAAATTGAAGAAACCCATGTCGATCTGGCTCGAGTCGAATCTTTGAACTTTTGAAACAATTCTTTAAAATTTGGATGTTCTTTACATGAAGGCCCCTGACAGAAAAAAATTGGAGCGGCTTTTGAGAAGAAAAAAAATCGTAAATTTCAAGCGCAAAATTACGCAAAAACTACTAACTTTTATAAAAAAGTGTGCATGACTTTTTTCAAAGACCTAATTTTGAAGAACATACTTTTTTTAACAAAAAACCTCTATCATCAATTTTGTAATTTTAAAATAAGTTTTGCAATTTTCGAAAAATCAGGGATATCACTGAAAGTGAGACCTGCTCCATTCTCTTAAACGTCTTTTGCAATAATGAACAACAAAATTTAATCAAAACATTTGGAGCCATTTTTTTGAAAATTTTGAAAATGTCTGAGGGATTTCATGTAAAGTACAAAACCTGATAATCTATAGTTTATTTCATAAGGATCAAATACAAATAATTGGTAAAGAATTGCGTACCCTGTCAACGCACGAATTACATAAAACAATACAAATTTAATAATCACGATTTCCGTGAACAGCGAGGGACTAAAACTGAGTGTCAACGATGAACGACACGAACGTCAGTGAGTGGCGAGGGGATCCGGTGATTAGTGAATCGGGGAAAATTCCAACATTCCTAAAATCACTAACGGCTTCGTCAGTTTTGCAATGAGTTATCTTGTTTTCCGAATGACTGCCTCTGTTAATTGGACATTTGTATTGTTTTATATAATTTGTTCCTTATCAAATAACTATGGAATATCAACTTTCGTACCCGAGGTAATCTCGGACCCCAATGACCACCGATACTGCCAGGTATACATGCAAAATAAGGTTGTGTATAGACTTACATTGCGCTGCTACACAATACAAGTTAAGTTTTTTTAAATTTTTTTATTATACTGTGCTGCTAGTTTGCTCATTTGAATTCACAGAAGCAATACTACATATAGTACGATTTATTTAGTCTTGCACGTGACGTAAACCAGTTGTAGCAGTTTTATATAATGGGGAGCGATGGGGAGCGTATACACAGCTACAGTGACTTCACTATGAGGACGTTCAAGCTCCTGATTGGATGAATCCGTGAACACTTGATTTATGTCAAGTGTATGGTAATAAATAGAATTTCTTTGACATACCGGAAATCAGCTTTAGGTATAATTTCTGTAATTTGATCTTTGGTACTACTATGTTTACCAACGATTACTATAATTGTACAATTTTAAAGAATATATGAATTTTTATAATAGGGATTATACTGTTGGTTACATTACAATGTCATAAGTTTGACTGCTGCAGTGAATCGTAACCTCCATCTTCCTTCCGGCATCTGCAGCTGGTTGGTCTTAGGTCATAATTTCGCCCTTCAAGAAAGGTATCTGTTTTCTGAAGTTTTAAATAGTTTTGCCAAAGTAGTTTTGCTTTTTGGCAGTTATGCTAATGTTATATAATGTTATGCTATGTTATATAATGAATGCGGGCATTAATGTTACTAGCTGTTGTAATTGCAAAATGTATCTTAACCTATTTCAGACTAACCAGCAAAATGTTGGGGCGATTTGGACCAATTCTGCCCCTTCTGGGGCAACATCAACAGCAGCAGGTAAGAGGAATGGCCACATTGAAGGCTATTTCTCTTCGATTGAAGTCTGTTAAAAATATTCAAAAGATTACCCAATCAATGAAAATGGTATCTGCTGCCAAATACACAAGAGCAGAAAGAGAACTTCGTGCTGCTCGTCCTATTGGTGAAGGTGCTAAGCAATTCTATGAGAAAGCAGAAGTTGCTGCACCAGCCGAACAGCCAGAGAAATTGTTGATTGCTATTACTTCTGATCGAGGCTTGTGTGGTGCTGTGCACACACAAGTATCCCGCACTATTAGGAATGAGTTGCTGGAAAACGCTGAGAATGCAAAAATTCTGTGTGTAGGCGACAAGTCAAGAGCTATATTACAGAGGCAATTTGGCAAAAATATACTTGCCGTTGCTAATGAAGTTGGTCGAAAGCCACCAACGTTTCTAGATGCTTCTAAGTTAGCTAATGTTATACTCACACTTGATTATGAGTTCGCTGCTGGGAAAATTGTATACAATCAGTTTAAGAGTGTAGTTTCATATGTAACCTCCGACCTCCCAGTATTCAGTCTCAAAGCAGTGACTGCTGCCCCCAAATTGCCATTATATGATTCATTGGACGATGATGTATTGCAGAATTATTTGGAATTTTCAGTTGCTTCACTTTTATTTTATTCCATGAAAGAGGCAGCTGCAAGTGAACAGTCCTCTCGAATGACTGCCATGGATAATGCTAGTAAGAATGCTGGAGAAATGATTGACAAACTTACATTAACATTCAACAGAACACGACAGGCTGTAATCACTCGTGAGTTGATTGAAATTATCTCTGGAGCTGCTGCTTTGGATTAAAGTACTCAGAACATATACATTTAGCAAACCCATTAGATAAGCTGTTTGAAAAATATATTATTCAATATTTCTTCATTCATTGAAATAATGCATATAACTCGTGAAGTGATTGAACATTCTCCTTTGTAGCAACTTTCCTCATTGAAATGCGATTAATACAGTTGAAATTTCTGAATTATGTAATTTGTTTACTGTGATTGAAGTTAACAAGCTCGTATTTGGAATCATCATGAAAAGCCCCTTCTGTCATCTTTAAAGTCCACACAGTTGATTCTGTATATGAACTTGTTGTCTTGTAAATGTGTAAAGTTTTAAAATGTTTTTGATGGGTTAATATGATAAATAAAACTGAAAGTTTACACAGTTGACAATGTCTTGTTTTGATTTAAGATTTATTTTGTTGCACAAATCTGAGTAAAGTGACTTCTCTTTAACAAAACGATTGCCACACAAATTTTTAATATAATGATTTGAGTTTTAGGTCATTATATGTGGCTTCTAACTGCAGGGTTTTGTAATGCTTTCTTCTTTTCAATGGTCCAATTTTTACTGTAAGTTTTCAGTCCAAGGTATTGTCTGCATTTGAAACTATCAGAGCATGTAATAGTGATATGATCTCTCTTTTGCTTACGAGTAGTAGAGAGAGTTATATTGATACTGTACCTGCAAATAGCGTCCATAGCGGTTGGGTTATAAATTATAAATAATGCTGCACAAAAAATTGGATTACAACTTAAAATTATTTAAAGTTTTAGAGTACAAATAAAGAAATTTCTTTCCCTCAAGGCTTTTGGAACTATGTTCATAATATTCTGAGATATATTTGACAATCTATATCTTGTAAGAAATTAACAAATCTGGTGTGAATTTTATCAATTCTGGTGATATAAATGGTGCAAAGGGAATTATAATTTCAGTTTGAGTATGAGAGGCAGGTATGGAGTTTTTTCAGCACGTCAGTCTCAGTTCTGGAAAATTACGAATATAAAAAGCACTCTCTATCATCCAAATTTTAACATATTTTAATTTCTGCATTTCAGATATATTTGGAGCATGAAATGACTTTCGTGTCAATTACAATGTGCATTATTCTGGTAGTGAATGTAAAGCATGTTTTTGTTGATGAAAAGTCACAGCATTGCTACTAAGTTAAAATAATATGCATTTTAATTCCACGGCTTCCTACATCTAGATTAAAATACTTTGTATCTCTCGCAAATTTTTCAGTACTTGACACTGTAGCCCTGAAGAATACCACAATGTGTCTGCACCTTAGCTTTTGATGCTTCATCACCCGAACAGTGCAGATCATGACCCTGGCCTTGAAAGCCTACAATATCAGCCAATGACTACACATTTTTCTGTAATCCAAATGTAAATTGCACACAGTAATAATTTATCAGTAGACTTGGGTATTCAACCTCCAAAATTTCCTATTTTAGTTGAAAAAGATGGTCTTTATACTTGCAGGGTACACCTTGCGAAACCATAAGAAAAATAAAGAAATTAATTCAGAACTAAATTAAGCATATGCCATACATTGAGTTCATATAGATCTTAGTGGTGTGACCATTACTGAAAATGGATAGTTCATGTATCGATACACATTTTTAAATATAAACTTCAAAGCAGAAGAAATGTGGGTCATCCAAGATTGCAGCGACATGACCAAATGGATTTCCTGGAGATAAGATAGATCTGAAGGCCTAATTCATGGTGTCTATAATGGTGATGAAAAATAGTCTGTAAGATTTGTTCAATTGGTAGTATAAATTGGCATAAATATCACTTGTTCCCTTATTATTTTACTTCTTACTGTTTTATTCATAATTATATGATAAGAAACACAGAACTGTTTGTGCTAAAAAGCTAAATCTTTTTTCACTCAGAATAATTTTATGTGCACAAAATGTTATTCCCTCTTTCAACAGTTGTAACTCATGCATATTCCAATGCCGGATTCATAGGCTCTTCTCTAACGATGCACAGCAAGCCAGAATAATTTTTAATTTAATACAAATTTGAGTATTGTTAAGATACTCTAGGAATGCTTTTGAAATTATTTGCCATTGCATATCTTATACCAAATGCATTTTTAAGCTACTGTGGATTTTAGGTTATATGAATGTGGTGCTTGATTTTGCAAAAACAAATGTGTTCATAATTAATTTCAAATGTACATTAAATTAGACATAACAAAAACTCCTGAGTATTATTCAAGTATCATATCAGCTGCACACCACAGAAAATCCTTGTATAATTCAGTAATATTAACGCTTTGGTAGATATTAAAAATTTGTGGGTGAGTTAAATTGTCAAGAACACTTGCTGCTGTGATTCTCTTTATACAAAATTATGCTCTCTAATATATCTTTGTTTCTTAAAAATTTTTGTTGCAAGCTAGTAATCTCACTTTGTGTTTTATATTCTGCTCATCTACCTTTAGTGATATTAAGTAATACGTAGACTGCAGCAGTAAAAATTTCTGCCACACAAAATGATTTTTGAAAAAGTAGCATGCACTCTTCTCAAGGGAGGGAGAGCAACAAGCCTGCACCCTTGTATGACACTAATAAATAAATATTTTAACAGTCTTCGTGAGTACTGCCAAAATACTCACGTGATGTCAGCTATGTGTTCGGCAGTGAAGCATTGCCTGTTGGGTATGAACAGTATGAGAAAAGGCAGATAACATAAATATAGGTGTTGTGGTGCGTTATCGTTGGCATTTTTCATGAAATAATTATAGACGTCATTGCCAACAATAGTGCCATTTATTGTTGGCAATGACAACATCTATAATTATTTCAGATAACATAAACAAGTATTCACATTTTTGAGTCGAAGTGGAATCTATTGGTTTTTTATTTTTCCCTGAGTTCCTTGGTATGTAATAAAACACTAGACACCCTTCATGTGACCGGAGGCTGCATAGATTTCTTTCAAATGTGCACGTTTGAAATTAGTAATGTAGATAACAATACTCCAAGTATTGCTAACACACCTGAGTGTAAGGCAAGGGTCACAAAGTTTCCTTTGATCCACTTAAACAATGTTGAAGTAGTCTGTTGTTAAGCTTCTGGACACCAAATGTAGTGGTTTTTCCTTCCTTTCCCCAAAAATCATAAGCAGTTTTTCCTAGTTTTATAAGAAATTAGTGTATTTATGCTCATTACAAAATTGGCAAGGACATTACACTTAGCTAAACTCCAAGAGCTCTGCTGGGGATGAACCTGTTGCCCCAAATATTTGGAAGTGCCATGTGCAGTTTTATTTCAATTTATTATTATAATTTATTTATTTTGGTAAGGACACTTACAGTAAATCTGTATAATGATAAAATTAACTTGTTATATATCATCGCACTGAAATGATAATATAGTGTGTCCAAATGTTTATTTTATATCGAGAAAATAATATATATTTTTTTATATTGGGAAACGAGTGTTACTCCAGATCAAGCAGGTAGACGTAGGGCCTGCTTGATCCTACAGGTAGCAGGTAGACGTAGGCCCTGTGAGCCTACGTTTTCATTTCAAGAGGACCAATCAACACATTGCTTCCCTTCACTGCCACGACCATGATGTCCTATTGTACGCCCGAATGGGGTGGTGTTCAAACGGTGCAAGAGGCATTGAAAGGTGTCAGGACAGCATTCGGATAGAGATAGTGAACAATGCAAAATCAATTGTGGAGAGGGCACGAACTCTAGAGAAGGATCTAGAAAAATTACTAATGAAAAAATACGAAGCAAACAATTAAAAATAATTTATCTGTAAGGACAAATAATTATATTGAAATATTACATTGATGCTGTTAATGAATTTTGCTGCCTCTCTATGTTAATAATATTAATTGTTAGGGAGAATTTCTCTTTAATTTTGACATCATCGGATGTAATGAGCCAAAAATGTTAATCCCCAGAAGTTCCCTATAAATGTAGTCGACTGTATGTAGTTAAGAGAGGCTTATGAATATTGAGGAAAATTGATTTAAAGATTTCAATGGAAATATATATTTTGGGGTCCTCTGATATTAGAAAGTGCAGTTTTGCAAAAATTTTTGTCTCTCTGTCTGTGAACAGTATGGATGCCTTTTTTTTTTCAAAATTAATATTTCCACATTGATATAGCCCTGCAATTTTGAAGAGATTTCTTTGAATTTTGGGGGTATTTTACACAAAGCACCTGAGTTATTTTCAAATTTTTACCAAAATGACTGAAAATTTGAGAAAATGAGAAAACAAATGTCTGTTAGACATAGCTAGTTAACTACTGTGGAGAGGATGAGTCAAAACCGAAATTCTAACCCAGAGTGAAGATATTAGGAAACTAACTAGTAAGAGTTTGGGGCCTTTTGAAGCACCAATAATTAATATTTAATTGCTGATGGAGATATACCTGAAAAATCTTGTTTGTTGGCATTTCCTTAAACAATAAGTCATAATTAGAGCCCAGATCTTTGACAAAATACCCTTTTTATTATTTGTACAATTTTTGCAATTAGTCTTTTAGCAATAAAAATCATATAATTGTACTTCTGGAGTTGTTTTAAATTTTTATTTTGCCTATTTTAGCTTCTGATGCCTATTTTTGGCATTTTGTCTTGTGTGTGCCTTTTTTGTCATTATTTTTGCTTCTTTCCTTCCTGGCCCCAATCTCTGTCAAGGTGGACAACATAAAGGCACAGTTGTGTATAGTCTTTTTGTGGGTATGGAGGTCCAGAGTCAGGTTAAAAATCTACAAGGGAAAGAAAGATGTTTCTTGTGAAGGCTTTTGATGTTTTTCATAGATGCTTGCATACTTGTTTGCTCATGAAAATTCTCATGTGTAAGGCCTCAGATCCCTTTTGAGGACTGAGCCCAATATACCCTCATCTATTCGTCCGTATTTTCTCTTTGCGTCTGGTGATTACACAAGTGTGTAGAACAAAATCTACCATTCAGTTTTGATTGATTCATTTCAAAATTCAAATAGGAGTAAACAAAAACATTTCATAGAGGCAGTGTTGTGAGTAAAATAATTTCATAGTCTGGATTGTCACATGCAATCAAGATGACAAAGAAAAGGTTGTTTCCTCTGAGGTGAGTACGAATAAGAATAATTTTAATTCTTATTTTTTACACTAATTACTTTTAAATGTTGATTTTTTAATGTTTCCCCTTTTTCTTACCCTCAATTTAGCCAGAATAAATGCCTTTTTTGCATGCCTGTTTTAGTAAAAATGAATGTCTTTTTGCCTGCCTAATTTAGGTAAAAGAAATGCCTGATCTTTCGGACTCTAGTAATAATAAATAAAATATAATAAAAATAAGAAATAAAACTTCAGGTTTCTATCTTGCTCCAGTTGCTTCAACTTTATGATACAAATAACTGAGTAGAAGTAACCTTGTTGCTGCACCACTGCACAATAGATTGTCCTGGTAATACTCATTTGGCGTAACGTTTTTTCATTGGAATATAGGAAATGAGATCTTATTTAAAATTGAAGACACTAGCTAGAATAATTTGAGTCAAATATCTTCCTAAGGAGCAGGAAGTTTGATTTCATTTAATAGGATAAATAAAAAATTCTCTTAAAACAAGCCATTTATTTCATTTTATTTCTTCATATATATATTTGATTGTCAATAGAAATTAACATGTACCCCTTTGAAGGTCACGCTTTGTGACAAGAATAGTCTTGTATATGAAAGATGTCTGAAAATAATTTTTTGTGCTAGTTTACAGATAATTGTATTGAAACAGTCCTTAACATTACTTGTAACACTTTTCATAATTATAATAGCTACATTATTCTCTTATTTCAGTTTAAATGTAGATTTATAGTGATCACTGATTTCCAAAATAACAGCAGTTCATAGTAACGTATATATTTCAAAACAGACACATGACCAAGAGAGTTATCTTTATGACCATTCAAAAAGGGCACTCATTATTATTTTACATTTTAAAATACTGAGAATATCAACAATTGTATTGTAACAAGACTACATAACATTACATGCTTAATGAGTAATTTATTGAAGCAGAAAATTATATATATTTATATTATTTGACATTTTTATTTGTGCCATGCTTAAAAGATACTCAATAGAAGTCACTGTCAACTTGTGTGTTAATGGAGAGTTGAGATATTAAGGATAAAAATGATTTTTTAATATTTACAGACAGTGATACATGAGGTCTCTTTACATTTGCTAGTTTACTCTAAATTCTGAATCACAGATATAGTTCTTAGGAATCCAATCTGGATTAATAAGTTTTGAAGAGTCATGAAAAGTGCTTATTTGATAGTAATTTTGATTGGGGAAAAAAAAAAGGAAAGAAAATATATATATTACATGAAATTCCTTTGTGGGGTGATGTGTGGTTCAAAATTAATAAAAAATAGTGAGTTTGAAAATACCAATTGTGCAACTGATTCCTTCTTTGGCAAAATTCAACTAGAGAAGTTAAGCAATACTCTTCACTTAAACTTTCTCTATGTTTTTTACTGCTTGGTATCAAATGATTGTTTAAAAAATATGAGCTTAATGAATAATAAATGCTGATGACTCATAATTATTCATTTTCAAATTGGAGACACTTGTATCACATGACATGAAGGGCTCCTGTACTACGTTTCTATAACAGTTACTTTTGCATTAAGGAACAAAGATAGCATCAGTTATGAACAAGTTGACAATATCTTTTTAACTGTTGTCAGAAAAAAACAAAAAACTTACAGTTTTCAGAAACCTTTTGTTTTAATCATTTGGGTTTGTTATTAAAGATTACTTTCAGAAGCAAGTACCTCATAATTGGCACATTGAAAAGTAAAGTAAGCAATCTTCATTTTATTTAATCTAATGTTAACTTTCTTCATGAATAAGGAAATTAAGACAAAATGATGTAATGTAAACAATGATACAAATATATTATTGAAGTTTAATTTAAATTTCAATTGTAGAGACAAACATTTAAATTTTGTGAAGTTATAATAGTTTGATAATGTTCATTACTGTCTATTTTGTGTTCTTAATAAAAATGAAAGGAACGTTTTAGTATTAACTATTGCTTGAAGGAAGTGAAATGATTAAAGCATTTAACTTTTGTAGTGGCAAACCAAAAAATTAGGACATGATGGTATCTCTAGCTCTGTTCTTGTTTTGTTGTGATTAATTTAATATGTTTATTTTGTTTATATTTCACTGTACATTGTCTGGTAATCAATTCCCAAATTTGGTAGGTAACAAATGCACTTATTTCCCAAGAAAAATACATGGGAGTTAGAAAAGGACCAGCACATGAAAATAGGGTTAAAAACATTTTTAGAATTAATAGGTGGAGAGCTGTTGCAATTGAGGAAAGATCCGCTACATGAGCTAAGCTGTTTTTTGAAGCTCTTCTAAAATTATTTCATTTAGATGAGGTCTTGCAATTATTCAGACATTTAACTTAACTCTAATTTGTTGCATTCATAGAATTAGCAGTATGATTTGGGAAAGGAAAATTCTTTGAAAATGTAATAGTGAACAAAAGAATTTTGACTAACAGTAATGAAGTACGAATCTATCTATGTTATATTTGATGACAATGTATTGATAACTAATATGTTAGGTAAATATAACAATACTGAATACTAAGTCAGTTGATGTCTATTGCATTACTTTTTCTCATGCGTCATTGTAAATGAAATTATGTTGACCTATACAATTAGCCCTGAGGATGGTATAATTCATCTGAAATGTTGATAAAATAGCACAGTTATTTACCTGACCAAAATACCAATTAAGAGCTCATTCAATTATCTGAATAAAAATAGCTTTAAATATTAAGTGTAATTTAAAGTTAAAGTAATTATAATTAACAATAAAATTAAAGTAATTACACAAATCACGTGTATGGTTTATTATTCATGTAATAAATTATATTAATTTATTTTACTCATCGTAATATATTATAATTCATCAATATAATAATCAGTGGCGCACCAATGGGGGGGCTCATGGGCCTTAAGCCACCCCCCCTCCCTCAAAAGCCACACAATGATACCAAATACTATGTAGACAATATGGGACACTGAACCTTTCTCAACTTTTAATAGAAAACAACTGCTCACTAGCAAACCTGGTGATGTGACCTGGAAAATCAGCAACTAATTCAAATTTTAATACAAATACAATCACTTTGCAAAACATAAGTAAACATAATAAAAAGTAAACCTTTCAAACTATGGATATGCAAAATGTGATATCAAAATGGGTATGACAGGTCAGGCCTCTAGGGTCACTAACTTCAAGTGTCTCCCGATACATTTCTGAGTATCCTGTATATCTCTATTGTATTTGATGATACCCATTCAAAAATATAACTTTACTAATTTTCTGTACTGATGAGTGTCAATCAACATATCCATTTTTTACATTATAAATACTAATACTAAGACAAAAAATAAAAATACTGCAATGCTAAATTATTCAGTATAAGTGAAAACTTCTTGATAAGAAAACATCAAGCTAGCTTGACCCCCTTCCTCCCAGAAAATCTCGGGGTGTGCCTCTGATCATAATTGATTAATTATTTAAGAAGAGCAGATCAAACTGAAAAAAATGTGTTAAGGCTTTTTTTTAACTTGGTAAAAGTGCCAATATGCTTAAAAAATATATTAAATTAGTTTTCACATGTATATGGAGAATCAACTACTGCCTATAAATAATTGGTGAAACAAAATTTTTGTTTTATAACCATTTTACACATGAATATATTTTTAAAAACATTCTTCAAGATCATGTACGAGATACAGCAAAAACTACCTATTTTAAGTTAGTCAAAAACTAATCGAAGAAATTAATAGAAAATTCAAAGCCTGATATGATTTGTTTTAAAAAGTCATTTAAATTCCTTGCTTCAGTTGTATTCTTACATACATCACACAACTGATTCTAAAAAATCCTCTAAGATCAGTCTTGTTTTCATAAATAATTAACTTGGAATACAAAAGTTATGGGAGGAATATATTTATAAGAGCTGTCTAATGATAGGGAAGAAGCTTGATCCACCATTAGAGTATTTATTTACAAGTACAATTTACCAATATCAACTTGTAGAAAAAATATGTCAAGGAAGGGAAGAGATTTAAAACTTGATTATGAGTTCATTCACAAACATGCTAGTAAGCAGACTTGCCATTTCAGTAAAAGATTTTTGAAATTTGTAAACAGTGGATTTTTGACTTAATAACCAATTTTTTCCTGCTTTAGATATTTAAAACCAATGTGATTAAAAAAATTGATAAAATCCCCAACATTTGATAGTACCTTACAAATTAATTGTTTTATTTATTTCCTATATTAACCAATTTGAATAAATTTAAATTTGAAACAACTCAATAATATGTCATGGTAACTCATAAATACAGTCACGGTAACCACAATAGGCTGTATGCCAATTGTAGCGAAGTTTTGAGGAGGAATGAAAAACATTCTCGCTTCTCCCTGTCTTGACAGTTGTTTTCAGAAATGGAAACTCATGAAATTTGGTTTTGTAAAGGTCTGTCTAATACTAATAAATAATATACCTACTGCTTCAGTTCTCTAGACTGTGTAATAAAGAAAAAAAGTTAATTTTTTTGACATGTGACCTATTGGGGTTACCACAATGAATTTTCTAGAAAGTTAAATGGTAACAGTTGAAAATAATCATCTGTTTTGAGAGACTTGAATTGAATTCTGAGTAGATGCGACTAGGAATAATCTTCTCCTTCGAGCTTTAGACCGGTTGGTCTGTTGCGGATCATTGATTGATCCAAGGAATAATCTTCTGAAATTTGAAATATAAATCTTTTTGCATGTTTCTTCCACTTCAATCGCCTAGCAGTTCTTCTCCCAGGTTGTGCCATCCTTCATGTTTGTGGTCGGGGAACTTGATCATGTCCACCCAGTGCTTTAATCGTTCTCCTTTGGAATGGAAACCCAGCTCCAGTCCACCTGTGAATTCAGTTTTCTTAAATATTGTGACTCACAAGTAAGGTGCCGTCCTCAAATTACGTATAACTAAAGAGGGGGAGGGGGAGTCAGTGTTACAAAGGGGAAAGGAGTTATTAATTTATTGTTACATAATATTGATATTTTTTCAACATTTGCCACCTGTGTATTAAATTTTCATAAATATTGCGATTTACAAGTAAGGGGTCGTCCATAAATTATGTAATACTCAAGAGGGGGTTTGAGGCAGCATTGCGCTGTGTTATGAAGGGGAAGAGGGTTATTCGTTTATTGATACTAGTTTGTTATTAGTTTCTTGAATTAAAAAAAATGTTTCAACATTTGCTGACTAAATATATTTTTCTGTCTTAAAACATTAAAAACTATAACATTAAAATATTAACTAAATAATTTTATAAAAAAATTAATTAAAGTTATGAGCTACAAATTCCTACATTAAATGGAAATACATTTTTATCAATTTTTTCTTCCACAAATATATATACACACACGCACGCACACATACGAACTTACGGAGTAATATACTAGTATAGGGAAAGTGCGCGAAAAACGGCGGGTTTTCGGCAAAAATAATTCATTGCCGAAAAATGGATAAGTTCAGTTGCTAAGTTAAGGAAAAAAATCAGCTAACACGTGGTGTCGCCAGAATCTCTGTTTTGTGGGTCCTTGATACCGAAAAATTAATTGACGGTAAAACGTCCGTCCGTGCGTGAACACCACCAGAACCTAAACGATAGTACAATTTTTTCCAAAATAGATATTCCCCGGTTGACCTGGCTCCACTCGAGGCGCCGCAATATTGAAAAACTTTCTTCAAAATTTGGAGATACTTTACATGAAGCATCCCGAACAGTTTCAATATTTTTTCAAAAACAGCTCCAATTTTTTTCTTTAAATTTATTTTGAAAATATAATAAGATACACCTATAAATGTGGCATAGATCCGATTTTCACGTTTAACTCTGAATCTTCGAAAATTGCAAAAGTTTGGATTTTTTTTCGGCGTCTTCCTACAACTACAAAATTGAAGATAGCGGTTTTTTTACCTTCAAATTAAATTTTTTGTTCATAATTAGTTCTTTCATGAAGGTCATGTAAATGTTTTTAAAACTTTAATAGTTTTCGTGCAATATTGGTGTGTAATATTTGAAATTTTTAAAAATTACAAAAACAAGATTTTGTCAAAAACCGCTCCAAATTTTGACTTCAAATTTTCAATGGAGTAGTGATAATTGCACTGTTTAATATAACGTAAAGTTCATTTCGGAGTAATCTTTTTTCGTTTTTTCTAAAATTATACAAATGCAATTTTTTGGGAAGATCTCTCACGCCGTTAATATGCACGGCTTGAGAGCAAATTTTCTCGCCAAATGCGTCCTTCCCCTATTCACAACTGGCCATCAATCTTATTGTTAGTTACTGTTAGTTATTGTTAGTACAACACAAATAAAATAAATAAGAATTGTTTTTACTGTTATAATTTTTTTGTGTACCAGCTTTATAAACGACCTTTTCTGTTGCAAGAAATTGATCGTAATCTGGGATTTTATGGCACAAATAATGACGTTTCAGATTTTACGACCCGAATCATTGCGTCATCACGCATTCAGCCAATCGCAGCGAGAGGATCGTGCAGAGGTAGCGGACACGTCCTCCTCCACTAGTGGAGGAGGCACCGTAACGGAACAGCCGACCACCGTTTTCTGGTACAGGTGCCAAATGCCAGAGACGTCACAAGAAAGTTGTTTCGCAAAATTAAGTTTGATTCACTTATAAATTTATAATGGTGTTATACAAAAAATATCGTATGCTACTCGTTTATAATGTTGCTTTATTGTATTCCCACAAATTTGAAAAGTATCTCGTTTCCAAAATATATACTCATGCAATAAAAATCATCATTATAATCTAATTGCATACTACTATTCATTTCTTTCATTTACAAGGGGGTAGGGTGTTGTCGCAAACGTTATGTAATTATTTAATGGGACGTCAAGAGCGCATTACGGGGTCGTTACAAGGAGCAGAGGGGGTATTTAAAATACCCCAAATTTGTGTTATTGACGGCCCCTAACATAAGAAATGGCGGCTGGTTCTGAAAACCAGTTGTGTTGCCATACTTCGCTCTTCCTGAACACAGTTCAAAAACCTCTCAAGCATATACGAGTACATAGTTTTTAAAGAATTTTCCATATGTAATTTTATACGATTAAGCAATAAAATTGCATACAAGTGGGTTTGAATTTTTTTTTTCTAGTTTAAAATACATTCATATGGAACTGATAACTAATATATACTAGTAGATATCTAAAATTTTACTTACAAAAATAGTTTGTATTTCATATGTAAAGTACGGTTTTTTTAGTAATTTGGTGTCGATTTTATTTTTCCATATTTTAAAGCATAATTTTTACTTTTCCGTATACGTACGTATCAATGGAGTGATATACGTAGTGTAGGAAAAGTTATATAGTGCTGCGGAAAATCAATTTCGAGATTTCAACGGAAATACGCGTTTTGGGGTCCCCTGATACCGAAAAAGTGGTTATTTTCAAAACGTCTGTATGTCCGTCTGTGAACACTACTAGCGCCTAAACCATGTGTACGATTTGTTCCAAATTGAAGAAATTTCTGCCTATCTGGCTCGAGTCGAAGCTTTGAGATTTTGAAAAAGTCTTTAAATTTTGGGGTACTTCACAAGAAGCCCTCCGGACATTTTCAAAATTTTCTCAAAAACGACTATATATTTTTCTTTAAATTGCATGTAAGAATAGAGTAAAATACGCTTATAAAGGTGGCATAGGTCCTATTTTTACGGTTAACACTGAATTTTTGAAAATTTCGGTGCCTTTCTACAACTACAAAATTAAAGTTTTCTTTCAATTGAAATATATTGTCCATAATTAGTTCTTTTATTAATGCATGTACATTTCTTGAAAAAAATCGTACTTTTCGCGCAATATTTTCAATTTTAAAAATAACAAAACACAAGATTATCTCAAAAACGGATCCAAATTTCTTCTTTAAACTTTTGATTGAGATAGAACTAAATTAACTCTATAAGATGACATAAACGCTATATTATCCTATCCCTGTTTTTTCAAAAATTAAATAAATGTAATGTTTTTGACTAATCTTTCACGTAGTTAATATTTACATAAGAGGCAATTTCTTTACATTAACGTACTTATGTGCACATATGCTTTAAATAATGTTTCTCGAAAGCTGAAATTTTCCGTGAAAATGAGCTGAAACTGAGTTCATTATATTCACTCGTTCTAAAAAGTACGCCAGGAAAACCTCTGAGTCAAAAGTGACTATTTTTTGTTTTACTTTCCAACATTGATACTTGTTGTATTCGCGCTCTCTCATACCAGTTTTACTTTTCGTGAGAAAAGTTTTGTCAGTTTCTTCTAATATTACTTCCGGGATATGTTTAATATCTTCCATATGCAAACATTTCTTTAATCTCTAAGCCACTATGATTATTATAAGATCACAATGCAAGGCTCACTAAGTCCTGGTCAGAAGCAACACGTCATCAAGTGGATACCTCGAATGGTAGATTTGGTTGAATTTCTCAGAATTTAAAATATTTTTCAGTGGAAACGAAAAAATACTGAATGTAACTCCTCGATAAAGGGATAAAATTTCACTCGGGGTAAAAGTGCAATTATACCTTTGTACATACACTTGTTTCGTTAATTACTACGATGTACAACCTTGTTTATAACAACCTTCAGCCTAATGAATACATTGGAATGAAATGTTGAAATGAAACGTAAAACAGAAAATTTTATTTATACAACAATAAAATAAATGTCAAATGTGTTAATTTGTGTATAAAAATTGTGCTGTCGAAAATAACTTTTGGATATTAAAGTTATTAAATGTGTTGGCTTGTCATTAACCTCGAATCAGAATGCAATTGTTTTAGTTACATGTATAAGTTAATGTACATGGACTTTGTTAATATACATGTAATGTTACATACATGTATAATAGTTCTTAATAGTCCATGTCTTGACAGAATGCTAGAACTTTTGTTGCGTATTGGGGTTTCAATTTGTGTGGGCATGGATGTCAAAAGTAAACTTACCAAGATAATCATTGCTTTTTCCATAATCTTTATCCCAAACTGTGATCTCCAAAGACTGTTTTGGGAGTTCTGTCATTTTAGTATCAAAAACAAATTCTTCATTGAACACAGGATTTAGATTTTTCCATTTTATTGATGTTTTGTATTTACGATGATACGGATCAGGTTTCAGCCGCCTAAAAAAGTTCAGTTCTTATATATGACATTGTGTAATTTAAAATTCAGTAATGTGTAATTACACAGACAAAAAATGTTTGTCCTAAAGACACATGTTTCTCTATGTATGTCAACGCGCTAAATCCTAATCTGAAGCCAGAATTGCGCCACCACCCTCCAGTTTTTCGAAATCGCGAATTTCACCGGGAAATTTACAATCTACAATTCCACGGTGTTTTCTCGTAGTTTAAAGAAACTGGAGGGGGTGGCGCCATTCTGGCTTCAGATTAGGATTCAACGCATTGACATACATATAGAAACATGTATCGTCTTTGGAATTGACAACTTTTGTTGTGTGCCTGTGTTATAATTAGTTGATTGTAAACCAATTGATTCAATGCATAACTCACAATTTGACAAATGGATCAGAAAATCCATTGTTATCCATTGGTGTCAAATTGGCACACCGTACAATCCCAACAACCAGAGCTCTACGGCGCGTTGAATAACAGAGAGTAATTAAAATTTGTCCTCTTGTCCACGCATCGTTTCCCCAGACTTCATCTTCTTGCTCGACCTGAAACAAAAGGTTTACACTTCATGGGGACGTACACAAGTTCTAAGAACGATTATTGTTAAAAAAGCCTTAAAATTATTTCCCGTTTTTCTAATAAAAATAACATATTCGAACTAGAGTACCTGAAATACCTCATTAACCATCATCCTCAGGACCGGGACATGGTTCGTACAAGAACAACGGTTGGGTAATCAAAATGAATGTGAAACATATGAGAACATATTTACTAATTCTTACATTATGCATAGTATACTTTGATACAGCCAAACAATAATACATACTTAATTAAATGCTATATTATGTTGAAGTTCATCAACAATGCCCAAGGGACAGAATCGAGTAGGAGTCTAAAATTCCAAGTAAAATCAATGGCGTTACATTCTTTCTCGCGTTATTAATAACTTCAAATTTTCGAAAATTCAGAGAGTTCAACCTACGCTATTTTTTTAATGTGCTTTGTTCAAAATTAGACAAAATTTGGTGCAGTTTTTTTGAAAAACGTCTTAATTGCTCTAACTTGAAGAAGAAAAGATGCAAAAACGTTTTTTTAATGGTACATGACCTCTGTTGGGGCCCGTACAGCAAAAACCGAAAGCTACATTCATTTGCAGAAGCTTCGCTGGCCAGAATTGGCGCGACGCCTTCTCGCGCCATGGCGCCTTGCGGTCGCGTGGGGAGTGACGGCGCCTCTGCGAATCCTCCTCACGTGTTCGGACTCGCCACGCCGGTGCCTCCGTCTCAACCGAACCCAGCGGATCTTTGTTCTAGAAGGTTCTAGAATCACCTTACACGCTAACCTGTGGTAGGTCATTAACTCCCCCCTCTCGGCATTCTCTGATGCGCACAGAAACTTGGCGACAAAGGCGCCACCAACAGAAATTATTTCGGCAGTGGGCATCACGCGAAACACACGTGTCTGATTGGCGTCCACACAGCTCCGTGTAAGACCTACACGTAAAATTCTCGCGTAAGCTAGTCTTACAGGCTTAAAGTCTCTTAACGAACAACGATAGTTACGCAAACTTAGTCATTAGTTGATGTTCTAACCTGAGTTGTATTATGTCTGCTCAAATTAGAACGCAGCACCAGCTTTATAAAGCTAGAATGTTGCGTAGACAAACTTCGTTGTGTTAATTGAACTAAACTGTGTAACAAGTGCAATTATTGAACTGTGTATTTGTGTATTAATGCCAGTAAAGTGACTAAGAATACATTTGTTTTTGTAATTCTTTATTTCTGTGAAACTGGAAGCACATACTGCACCTATTGCAGCGTCGTGCCACGCTCAAACTGCCGTATGTTAAACAAAGGGCGGAGTGATGACGCACTGTGACTTTCCGTGGACGTAGCGGGCCCAGAGCGGCTTTGGTGAGGAGGCAATGGGGGCGGCGAGTAGAGCCAAAAGGACCTATATAAGGCCAGGAGAACAATGCCCCAGTATTCTTGTGCTAGCGGCGTCGGCGACAGGTGAAGCGCGTGTCTGTGCGTATAGGTACACTAGGGCGAGAGGCCGGAAATTCATTGTCGTGACTTGCGAGATGCGTAGATGGTCTCTAAGTAGAGCGGCTTCATACAGGGATCATCGGTGGTATGTTGCGGTGTGGTAGCCGTTCTTAAATTATCTCTCCTTGTAGTGGGTCTATTTATTTAGTTTATTGTGAGCAGGGTAGTTGTTAAATTGATACTACGGTCTAGATTGTTAATAAATCGACTGTTTTACAAACCACTTTCGTCTGTGTTCGATTACACCCGTATGACGCCACACTATCAAAGGTATTCCAGAGCTGCTCCGTTTCAATTAATCTATTAAGTCATACAATACCCTCAATCACAAATGCGTGAAGCAGTCTCCAACAACCTTTTTTAATGATGTGAATTTTGAGAAAAGATATTAAACAAAAGTCTCTATCTTCAGTATTGTCTTTTGCGATATTAATTGTTTGTAATTTTCGAAAACACAGTTCCTCGAAAATGGGGCCAGTACGACTTTCTTACCGAATTTTGATGAATAAAAAAATGAAATTAAAAAAAAAAAAAGGTTGAGTCAGTTCGCTATTTTCGAAAATTCAGAGATTTCAATGAAAATGGGACCTGGCCATTCTTTAAACGTTCTTTACAGTATACATTGACAAAGTTTAATAAAATAATTTGGACTAATTTGTAAGAAAATTGAACTAATGGTGGTACAGAATGCCACAGACTTTCCCATATTGGTTGTCTATTTCCTTTGAACTCGGCTAGCTTTTCGAACTTGTCACATACTCTTGTCTGCTTCCATCTATCGCGTTTGAAATGTTTGAAGAAAAAATTGAAGCCGTTTTTGAGAAAATGGAGTTTGAGCGTTACTGAAATGGCGAAATTTTGAGCTAGTTTTAACAGAAAACGCTTGAGTTTTCGTCATGCTTTATCTGACATTATTTAAAGCACATGCACTCACAAATATAATAATGTGAGCAAATTGCTCCTAATGTAAATATTAACGACGTGAGAGACAAGTAAAAAATTAAATTTTTGTGATTTATGAAAAACAAAAGAGTAGAGCAATATGGCGTTTATGTCATCTTATAGAGTACATTTAGCACAATCCGCTTGAAAAGTTTAAACAAAAAATTCGAAGCGGTTTTTGAGAAAATCTTCATTTCGTAATTTTTTAAAATTGCACACAATATTGCGCGAAACTACCAAAATTTTCAAAAATGTACATGGCAATGAAAGAGCAAATTATTGAAAAATTTTATTTGAGGAAAAACGCTCTATCTTTATTTTTGTTATTGTAGGAAGACCCCCAAAAAATCGAACTTTTGAATTTTCGTTAAGTTTAGAGTTAAGTATGAGAATCGGATCTATGCCACATTTATAACTGCATTTTACTATATTCTTATAAAAAATTTCAAGAAAGAATGTGGAGAAAATGTTTTGAGAAAATTTTGAAAATTGCTCAGGGTCCTCAAGTGAAGTACTCCCCTAACCGAAAGAATGATTTTCAAATAGCAGAGCTTTGACTCAAGCCAAATGGACAGGGGTTTGTTCGATTTGGAAAAAAACCCAACGCATAGTGGTTTTCACAGATGGAAGGACGGTCAAACGGATAGACAGACGGGCGTTTTGAAGAAGAAGAAGAAGAAGAAGAAGAAGAAGAAAAAAAGAAAAAGAAAAAAACTACACACACTTTTTGTTATCTGGGGACCCCAAAACGCGTATTTCCGTTGAAATCTCGAAATCGATTTTCCGCAGCATTATATAACTTTCCCTATAGTACGTACAATACTCCTTATAGTAAGTACAATACTCCGTACGGATAGTGGGGGAAGTATAAATGAAGATAACCTATAAATAAATGTTATCTGTTGCTAGCTACATTTTTGTTTAACGCATATTCTTAGTTTTATGTTTATATATTGGCTTTTTTAAATTCATAAATTGTCAATTTTAAACGCTTGATTGCATGCATATTTTAAACTTTTGTAGTGCATGAAGTTCCAGGGTCTTCTTATGACACGTACCAAGAAATGCTTCTCCAGGGGGACAATGAGGTGTCGAACTTGCTGAGGCACAAGGCGCGCAAGGGCTATTCGCGCTTCTCCGATGAAGTCGTGACCGTATTTGTCATCATCTGGAACATTAACACGTGGATCAGCAGCAAAAGAAAATAATATCAAATCACATTCACTGGTAATTTACATTAATAACTTGTAGTGTTTCTTTACATTGTTATACAATGTGTACATTTTATAGTTCGCCGAAGATTCGGACGACGTCGCCCGCAACTCAAAGCTTCACTCGCCCAGCGAAGCGCTGACTCAACTCCCGTGCTGACATATGGGAGCTATCGCTGTGCTTAATATGCAGTAAAGAAGATGCTCGGTATCTCTGGAACTTATTCTGATTTACCCTTTGAAATAAGTCTCGAGGAATTGCTGCAATTTTCTCGCCTATTGTGCGAGACGCCTCAAAGATTTTCGTGGAGATTGTTATAGCCTAGCAGGGATTTTGATCGTCTTCTCTTCTGAGAAATGCCGTTTTGGAATCTTTTGTTTACCAATTAAAATTCCATAGGTGCGAAGTGTTATGTATAGGAAAGCCAGGAGTAGAATAAGAACAGTTTTTTGTCAACGAATTTATTACAGTGAACCAGAAATCCAAAAGACGCAATCCCCCCCTGAAAAAAAGCAGCCACAGTGGGCCGCACCTCTCATGTCGGGCACAGTGTGCCCCCCCCCCCTAGCCCGTCTCCGCGGGCACAATTGCTGTGTATGCAGCACGAAGTTCCTTGACAAGCTTCAAAGTTGTCGACCGATGTGGAATTATTCACGCCCGGAAACTTCTTAATATATCTCATGCGGCACATACTGGCGGACTTGAGCGAACGATGTTGTCATAAAGAAATATTCTGCTCCAAACAAAATTTCAAGATGCGCAGTTGAACGCTCTCGTGGCAGAGGTGTATCGGCGGTGGCGCCGAACGGCGAATGAACGGGGCCCTTGGGGACAAGTGCCCGGGGCACCCAGGGCTCGATCGCCCAGGCAAGCGGCTTAAGCGTCATCTTCGGCGAAAGATAAAATGTACACCCGGGATATGTCCCGAGTCCGTACTTTTCATGAATTCCATTTATTTTTGTTTAATAATTTTAAAAGTTACTTTTAACTCACCCAACACCAAAATATGTAGGATCTTTCTGCCAAGATCACTGTCTGTGACACCGTAAAAGGTTACAGTTTCATTAAATTCTGGGTTCCTTGTCTTGTGTACTGTTTTGGTGCGAAGTCTATTGGACTAAAAAAGATATATGTATATTCTTAGAGAAAAGTTAATGGGTGCACAAATAGAGAGTAATTCATTAGTAGCAATATATTTTACCTTTCCTCCTGTTGGTAGAAGATTTAGACGACAAAATGGGTCTGACAGTCCATTTATATCCATAGGTTTCAGACCCTGAGAAAAGTACATTTTAATTTTAATTTTTTATTGTTATTTATATTACTATTACTATTACTACTATTACTTTATTTCCCTTTTTGCTAGTGAAGTTATTAGATTTGCTTACCTTTGCCCTGTGGAGAGAGCAGTGCAATGCACTAGCAATAGGATCGTATATTAACGATAATTCAATGGTACCAAGTTGGCCTAGAAATAATAAAAGAATGTTTGAGGTAAATTCAACCAGAGTATGGGGTGAACATTTAATTATTTAGAAAAACTTTCATTAAAATTAAGTTACAAAATCGCATACTTTCATTATGTATAAGATCACTAGGAGCTTGTGATGATAAAACCTTGCCAATCGCTACTAGATAAGAATACGGGCAAAGAATGTTCAAAATTAGAAATTTATTTTCCTAACTCTATGAGAATTGTAAACTTTCTGAAGATCGAGGTTTATACTATTCATTTGGATAATATGATTACCTGTTTTAGTATTAAAGTAATATTCTTTTATGAGGAATTTTCAAATTAGATAAAAAATGTATTTCAAGCCTTCAATGTAAGGAAGGTATTTATTGTAAAAACGTATTAATATCTAGAAAAACAGAACAACCTTCATCAACAAAACTAACTTCAGTAAATATTTGTGTAGTTGCAGTGAACATTTTGATTTACAAGATACCACGTTTGTTTACAGTGAATGTGTGAACAAGGAGAATAGTGAGTTCAAGATCATTGCAAATGTTATTTTGAAATTGTGGAGGCACAGAGTTAATTTAGAATGATAGTAATAGGAACAAGGGAATCATTTAATAAAATACGGAAATATTTCATCATCTTTTCAAAAATTTGAGTAGAAAATACGCAGCCAGCGAGAGACCGAGGCTTTGCCATCCCAGCCCCCCCCCCCGGCCTCCGGGGGGTGAGGGGCGAGGAGGAAGCGCCGAGGCGTCGCAAAAGTCGATATTTTGTCATTTGCGAGCCTCAATTTGATTAATGGTTTTTGTTTCAATGAACGGATATGTATATTATCACTTATGTTAATTTATTAATTTACCAAAATTCGCCAAAAACAGCAAAACAATCTAAATTTAAACTTCAGGTTGCGGAAACCCCGCCTTGGTAATTATTCTTTTGAGTTAAAAAGCTACAAATCACTTCAAACTCATGGTGCTATAACAGCACGTTTTTTTCTCGCTCTTGCTTTCACGCAAAATTACGCGACAAGTACTCGAAAGTTTCGAAAAATTGTACATGACCCTATTTCAAAATCTATCTTTAAGAAACAGATTTCATTAAAAAATCTCTATATTCATAATTGTAGTTGTAGGAACACGCTGAAAAATTTTGAATTTTTGTAATTTTCGAAAAATCACAGTTTTCAACAAAAATGAGTCCTCTCCATTCTCTTAAACCTCCTTTACCCTAATCAACAACGATCGAGTACATTTTTTTGAAAATGTCCCACGAGTTTCATATGCAGTACCTCCCATAATTAAAATATCGGTTAGAAATTCCAAGGGCCGCAACATCAGCCTGACCAATTACGAAATGTCAGTTTTGGAGAAAATCTGAAGGGTTTAGTCGTTAGCGTTGTTCCCAGACGTTTTGCCGTCAATCGATTTTTCGGTATCAAGGACCCACAAAACAGATTCTGGTTGCACCATGTGGTAGAGGATGTTTTTTGAGTCAGCAACTGGATTTATCCAATTTTAGTTATCAGGGCCCTGTAATAAGAGTTTATATAGCTTTCTCTCTACTGCGTTCGCGGTAGCGAGAAAGCAAACCGCGAAGTGAAAGCGGCCCCGCGCGGGCTGGGCCGGGAGGTGGCGGGGGAGCGCTCACAGTGGTGGGCGGAGAGGCCGTCGGCGGCGCTGTCGTCGGCCAGGCCCAGGTCGGACGCGCCGCCCAGGGAGCGCTGGCAGCTGCTGGCGAGGGAGGCGCGCTCGTCCGCCCACGCCCACGCCCCCGGCCCCGCCCCCGCCCCCGCGCTCGCCCACGACGCCTGCGACTCCCGCCGCGGCCTGCAACACACATCGCATTGAATTATTTTTTAACGTCGTTATTCCCGTAAGTGTAGGGCGTGTGCTTTCAGTAGGTGACGGTGGTCTTCCCCCGCTGTATGGCGAGATCCGGCGCCGACCTACCGTCGGCTAGCGGGGTTTTCTCCACCGCCTCTGCCGGGACAAGCTCTAAGCTCCCGGCCGGTCTCCGGCATCTGTGGTAGTGTAGTGTATGTTGCTGTAAGTGTGTTAGGATATGACAAGGAAGAGGAAGGACAGATCGCTCGACGTCCGTGGTCCGTTTGGATACTGCTCCGGCATTCGCCTGGCGTTGATCGAAGAAACCACGGAAAACTACCGCTCAGAGCAGCCGGCTTCTAGAGTTTCCCTCCAGACAGAGACAGAACTCGATCCAGCTATCTAGCTAGGGTCAAATTCCTGCCACTGTGGGGACTCGAACCTAGGACCTCCCGGTCAGAAGGACTGTAGTAGCATCAGTTAATAATAATGAGCCATCTCTCCCGGTTCGAATTTTGGATTTTATTATTTTTTAATTTTGTTCATATTTCTCTCAAAATTGTGTGATAACTAGTAATATTTTCAAAGAAATAATGACATTTATTTGAAAAGCTGTTTGTGAAGAACTAATTTCATCGAAAATAATGTCCATCTTCATAATGGTTTATCCCTAGTTCATTACCAGAGAGAAGTGTATATTTTGTAGGATCAGGTGGGGGTCACCTTCAATTTACGTAAAACTGTTTCTTTAACTCTCTGTACATTATCTTATCATACAATATTTTAAAAAATTCTCTCGATTAGTTAAAATTTATTCTGGAGTCTACCGTTGTCATATATCTTGACATTGCTACGTTCCAAGCCGCCTTGCTGAGGCCGCAGTCACGATGCAACTTGAACGCAAACATAACGTAGCCGTAAAACCTAGAAATGGGTTATTAAGCGAGACCATTCTCAATGCCTTGACCAATGCCGTAACCATAAACATAACACTTCGCAAGCACCAAAGTTTTGCGTTAACTTTACGACGTAAACGGCCGTTTCTTGTACTGAAGACGAATCAGAGAGTAGCATGAAAGAAACAAACATGGTGGGTTTCAGATTGTGTTAAGATAGGTCGTGGTTTTGTCATTTCATTATTATTATGAAATGAACTAATTTGCGAACGGTTTCGATGCGAGTAGTGAATTCAAAGTAAGAATTTGGGCCATTTTCCTTATGACTTTAACTTGACTTGAATGAAATGATTATGTCCGACGAATTACTCGTGAATTTGGAACAAGATAATCGGTGTTTATGAACGAAACGCGAGCAATAATAGAACTGCTAACCGCTTATAGAAAAAGAAAACTCGATAGGAAGAACGAAGAAAGGCTAGAGACCATGATGGAAAAATCATTCCATCACGCTAGAAATTAAATGATCAAGCTTCAATACATTGAAATCTGATTGGCTGAGGCGAAACTACCGTTAGTCATTGTGAGGGCTTATTTTTACGCGTGAATTTCTCTGCTAAGTTTACGTTACGTTTTAATTGCATTGTGAATGCGGCCTGGCAGGCGGTGTATGCTCGGCCGCAGGAGGACTCTACACAGCTACTCACGCCGGGCGACCGCTCGGGAGCGTAGAGGGCGTCCCGGTTGGGGGTGCCCCGCTGTTGGAGATTCCTGGTAGAGGGAAATTGTAACATAGAGATGTAATAAAACTGAATTGAGAAGAGTCGTGTCTGTCTATAAATCATCTTGCGACTGCTTTCCTTCAACCTCAAATTTACAAGAGACAGGCTTATTCCTACCTTTGCAGGAAACCCCGCTAGCCGAGGACAGGTCTCGCCATCCAGCAAAGGAAGTCCAACGTCATCGCCCGTGGAAAAACCTACCCTTACGGGAGTAATGACCTTAGTAGATGACGTGCTGTGAATCGCGTACAGTCAATGAATCAAGCGTGTATTGAAAAGGAAGCGCGGGGCAAGAGTGGCTCACGTGTGCGCGAAGGCGTCGCTGTCGGCGCCGCCGCTGCTCTCCGAGTCGGCGGCGAAGGCGGGCGCGGGGCTGTGCGCCAGGCCGGCCGCCGCCGCCGC